GCAGGAAAATGAATATTGAAAGATCAGAGGTAGAGGATCACATCGCACAGAATGGGTACGAGATCAATTGGAAGACAACAGAAAGAAGGGCCTCATACGATGAAAACGCATGGAAACGGACGACATTGACATCTTTGAGGAAAGAAATTAAATAAATATGAGATTGAAATAAGGCAACTCTGGAACCTGAACTTAATTCCAAATATAACCTTATTCGAAGAAAAGTTGCGTTTCGAGGACTCGCTTGCTTCACATTTGTTGAGCCTACTTCCATTTGGATGGAAGGCGTTTGGCAAAGGGATTAGAAGGTCGATCCCACCAGAAGACGATGGCTGATTGCTCTTGACCGGGTATCGATTTGCTTTACTGGAAAATACACATTTACGCTGTTTCCGAGGCAATCTCAATCGATTTTGATGAAAACCTGCTGACATTTCGTTTGAGCCTGTGAGTTTTCTTGACTTGTTAGCTTCAATATGTTTGTAAAGATGATTCCTTACTCTGACGATGTCTGTGATACGACGGACGAAAGCGTAGAACCTCTTCACTGAAATCGAAGGGGATTGCCCCGGTATCAGCGTCAACAAGAATGTTCTAGTAGAGCTCATTGAAAACTGGATTCTGCCGTCGTCTTCTGGTGGAATCAACCTTCGAATCTCTTCACCAAACACTTTTACTTGAAGTGGAAGTGGCTCAACAATTATGAAAGAAGAGATTCCTCGAAACCCAAATTTTCTACGCATATTCTACATACGTATAGTACACATTCTTATCAACCTTCTTCAGGCTATACGAAAACTAAGAAATCTATATCCCAGAAAGTCAATATTATTAGAGTTTTAATAATGTGTAATTTACATAATTTAGTATCTAGATTTTTTTCGTGGTAGGGGTTCAGGTTTACCTATTTCCACTAATAGGGCATCAAGTGGTTTGGCTAAAAGTATACTAAAAGAAATTATAAACAAATTACATGACCTGATTAGAAATAAAACCAAGACTAGGCAATCCCTTTCTGTGCCATTTTACCAAGAATACTTTCTCAAATTACCAAATATGGTGGACGGTATAGAGAGAAGGATGGATACGATTTACAGACGCTGACATGACAAAAACTTAAGGAATTTAGGCAGTAAAATCAACTCAATAGTTGAAACCATAAGGATGTATTCAAATTTAGTATTATTTGTTTTAGCAATGATAAAGTCATTAATTTAGTATATCCATGGATGATAGTGTTAAGCTCCTCTTGGAAAGGGGTTTAGACTTTGCATTTTCAAATGAGCAGAAACATATTATGGAGATACTGGTGGAATCAATCAAGTATAGAAAGATAAGTGATTCATCATCAGAATGATATGTTTGATTTGCAGGAGGATAAAGATGGTGCAGTAGTCGTCATGGCTAGATTAAGTTACATATAAAAAATGATGATCCATTTAAATGACGCAGGAAAATATATACAACCTTTAGTGCATAATCCCACCTATGGTGTGAAAAGCCAGACTTAGGGATTCACTTAGCGTTTGTGTAAGCATGTGATAAATCAAAAAACTAAAAATGAATTAACTTCTTCAAAGGGACTGGTTGTTGATAATAAGGGAAGTGTGATGCATGTGATTTCACTATTGTTATGCAGACAATTGAAGAAGTGTCTGAATATTGGAAGTATTTGGGAAGAATTAATATGAATTTGTTGGATTTATAGATCAACAGAGTATTAGAGAAGCTGACTTTTTGTGAGTGTCGACATTGTATCAATGTACCAATAAGTGCTATTGAAACACTAGCACTCAGCCTGGATGAACAACCAGATATTATTGCAAATCTGTATAAAGCTCAATTTTATGGCTACTTGATCTATTATTGAGTAGCACATAGTTCACTTTTAATAATAAGTTTGATGAACAGGTGCAAGGCCTGCCACTGGAATCGTGTTTGACCTCCATTTTAGCGAATAACTACATGCCACGGTTAAAAAATTCCTAATGGAGGGGGTAAGATCAGCACAAAATCTGTTAGATTGTTATTTTGATGACCACTTTACCATATGGCAGCATGGCAAAGATAGTTTGGATAATTTATTATCCTTAATAACCACATTGATTGTATGGTTAAGTTGGCGATAACGATCGAGAAGGACAATATTTTACCACTTTTGGATGTTTTAGTTATTAGAGCAGGCGAGAAGTTAAGTAGGGATGCATACAGAAA